ACCATATTCATCCCTTAAGAAGGAGGTGATAGATTTATTGGTCACTTCAAGTGTAACAGATGCATCGATTGTTTTGGTCTTCATATAAATAGTGGGCCTCTGCACCACGTCTTGGTCTTTCGACATCCGTCCGTCAGTCAGAGTCTGCCTGGTTGTGTCTATCGCATAACGTTAGGGACAGTCAGTGCATCTTAGGTTGGATTTAAGAGCATCAGATTCTATTTCCGTTTACTTTACATTTAGTGTTTAACTGATAAGTAGTGTAACTAGTAGTATATTTGGTTAATATAATACATCAGGTAGAAATTGTCTACTTATTATATTAAATATCCGAATCAACTGCGAGCATACTACAAGTCAGCAAGACCGATCTCCTCGAAGAACGAGGTCCATAACAATGGGTATCGTATCGAACGACTTGAATAGTCCCCCTTAGGATCGTTATTATTATTATTATTTTGATATCCTCTTGGAAGAAGATTCCAGATAAAAATTTGAATCTTAGAAAACGTTCACACGAATGCAACGTGAGATGTTTTGGTCGTGAACGTGTCGGTGTCGTTCTGGACGAACGGTGTCAAATTTTTCTCTCTTTTTTTTTTTGTTGAATATTGAAATTCGATGTTTAAATTTAAAAAAAAATTCTTTTAGTTTAATGATTATGAAAATTAAATCCGAGGATTTATAATTTACCGAGTGAAATTTTTTTAAACCGTTAATGATGATGATTAAATATATATAAAATAAGAAGATTTTAAATGCTGCTCCCATCACTCCCCCTTTTCCCCCAAAAGTTTCCTATTTTGTAGGGCAAACTTTAAAATTATAGGAAATATTAAAAAAATTTAAGGAAAACAATCATGATTTTGAAATGTTATTCATTTGCAACTACATAACAAAGGAAAAGTGAGAAACCGCCATTTTGAGCCGCCATGTTGTTTATGTTTTTCACCTCGTTATCACCATTAAAAGAAATATTATGGGGTGTTAATCATATAAAATATTATCCGTCAGCAAATAATCATGAAATTATTTAAATAATAAATTCGCGCCATATTTATTAATCAAAATAATCGCGAGATTTTTTACGTACAAACAAACAAACAAACAAACAAATTGATTTTCATTGTTTTTTTCAATTCTCTGATTGTTTGTCCTTTAAAGTCTTTATATATATATATTGAAATTATTATTATTATTATAAATGAATATACTTTTTTGTATGATCGTTCGATAAATTTTAAATATTTTATTTTTTTTGTTGGGGAGAAAAGAGGAGGAGGGAGAAGTAAAAACAACAAACGGACGATACAACAACAACAACAACCGAACGACATGAAATCTATACATGATATATATATTTTTTTGAAATTTGCGTGTGTGGTTTAAATCAAAGTTCGAAAGCCACTCGAATAATATCTGTTTGTGACATTCTATTGACATTTTGAAAAACTTTTTTTTTTTTTTTTTGTAAAATAAGGGGAAAATTATTTAAATTTTAAAATGCCAAATTTTTTTTTTTTTTTTTTTTTTTTTTAAATAAAGGGGGGAGGGAAGGGGGTAAAAAAAGTATAATTTTTAATAAAAATAAAAAAAATACTCGTCGAATAAATAAATGTTTTTTTTTTTAAACGCGCGAACGTTTAAAAATAAGATAAATAAAAAAAAAATACAAATTTTATTTTAGTCAGCAGAATTAAACGTGTACAAAAAAATTTTAACAAAGTTTTTAGTGACGTCAGCAACAATGCAAAAAGGAAAAAAAAAAAATTTAAGTTGGTATTCGTGGTTGAAAGCGGTAATGGTGACAAATGAAAGTTTCTTACCGGGGTAAAAAAAAAAAGTGATAAGTGAATTAATATTTTTTTATTTTCAACCATTTTACCGTTACAGTTTTTTTTTTTTTTTTTTTTTGAATTTATTATATCGGAATGTTTATTTACAAAAAGGAAAGTAATTTATATATATTATTTATCGTAAATTTAAATTCTTTTCCATTTTGAAATTATTCGTTATTATCATTATTATTCTATTCGAATGAATAGATTTTTATTTCTTTCGAATATTATTATTTCAATGTAGTTTAAGTGAAATATTTATATATATATGGAATGGAATCGAACCCCCTTTTAATAATTTCAAAGTTTTTTTTTGGGTTTTAGTCCGATTGCAAGAGGAAAAAAGGATTTTTTTTTGGGTGTCATAAATTTCAATGTGAGACTTAATTGAGGTCAGCCATTTTTAACAATGGACGCGCGGTCGAAAGGGTTGTGATATATATATAAGTAATTAACTCTTTGGAGTAATTATAACGACATGAAAGGCAGGCAGTTATATAACTAATATTATCAAGTGCGATGGGTCACTTTTAAAACAAAAATTACAATAATAAAATAATGGTTAATCGAAAATTTACTCCATTAAACACAAAATTTAGTGTTGCCTCTCTTCTAATTAATTAATTTAGATTGGTTTCATTAGTTTAGTGCAACAAAAAACGTTTTTTTTTGTCTGTTTGTTATTTAGTTTTAACTATTGTATTATGTTAAACAACAACATAACTATACATAACTACAACAACCACAAACCTACAAACAAAATAATGATGTATAATGTAATAGTAATCACAATTAGTATATGAATTATTTATTTATTTGTCATTGTGTAGAAAATTTGATTTCATTTAAAAAAAAAAAAAAAAACAGAGTGATTAATAATTGTTTATAACAATTTAAACAATACAATTTATACTAATAATGTTATTTTTAAAACAATTTAATAACTTTAAAAGGTTTTTATTTAAATAACAAATGTAAAGATTATTTATTCGCTTGCTTTAAAAAAAAGGTTTATTATTAAAATTTATTTTATTTATTGATTTATAAAATGATTTTTAAATAATTATGATAATGATAATGATAAAACTATTATATGAAAAAAAAAAAACAAATCAATTTTTTTACTTTTTAATAATGTTTCTTATTTTTATTTTTTAAAGATTTATATGTAAATTTTATGTATATTTTTTTTATGTATTATTGACATTTTTATTCAACAACATTTTAAATCAGTTAAAGTGAGCTTAAAGTTATTTATTTTAAATATATTTTGCATCATTAAACATCATCATCATTATGATTGTGAATTACACAAAAAAAAAAACAATAATGATGATCATATCATTTGATTTATTTTTATGAATAGTAAAAAGTTATTAACAAAAAAAGTGTCACTGAGATAATGTTTAACAAACAAACAATCAAACTTTTTGTGATTTACATTAAACCAAAATCATTAAACATAATAATAATAATAATAATGATAGAATCAATAAGACAAACATATTAAATAATACAAATAAGTTAATAATAAAGATTAAATTAGGTTGTTGTTGTTGTTGTTGTTAGGCATTAAAAACAATTTAATTGTATGTTATAATTTATTTTTAAATTTTTGATAAAATGCAACAACAACCCTCTGCCCTGCCCCCCAATAAAAAAAAAATTTTGTAAGGGATTTAAAAAAAGATTTTACACACAAACGTTTGTTGTTTGTTTATTTATTTATTTATCAAAATTGATAATATTACATAGTTTAATAAAAATGATTAAGATAAATTAAAAAAAGACTTATTGTTATTAAAACAACGATGCAGCAATTTTTATTATTATTATTTAAACAAAGTTAGTTAGAATTTCAATTTAGTCAATATATTTTTAATAAGTAGGGCCGCCATTAAAAAGGAAAAAATTTGCAAGAAGCCCCCCCAGTATTTTTTTTTTGTTAAGGTTTACAAATAAATAAATAATTGTTTTATTTATTTAATTCTCGATCATTTATTTTAAATAATATTAAGTTTGTTGGTTGTTGTTGTTGTGTATTGTTTGTTGTAATAATTTAATTTAAGAAAAATTGTTTCGAAATTGTAAAATTTGAAAGTTTTGTGTGATGAAATAATAATAACAACCATGGAGATCTTCCCTAAATTGGTTCGTTGCAGTTAACGACCAAAAGAAACTTCTAGACGATGAAACGATTAAAAAAAAAAACAAAAAAAATTTTTGTTTTTTTTGAATGAGTCTAAATAAGGTCTGGTCGATGCCTAAAAAAAAAAAAAAATTAAACGAACGTCAAAAGAAAAAAAAAAAAACATAAATTGCAACATGTCAATGACTGTGGAGAAATGAAGAGAGAGGCCTTGAAAAAAATAACAAACGCAAAATAAAAAAACGAACCGCGAAGCAAGTTCAGAAGCCTGAACATTTGGTTGGGATGATCTGAAGAACGACGTGGTAGAAGAAAAAAGAGAAGGCGGGGGAAGGGAAAAAAAAAGTGAAATATGAAAAAGCAATAACGAAATGAGAGGAAGAAGAAAAAGAAAAAATAATTATTATTATGTTATGATGATGATGATGATGATGATAGTTATCGTAAGAAACGTACTGGTGGTCGTATTTTGACGGGTAGGTCACATGTTAGGCGAGACGAAAGCGCCAAGTTCGATATGGCGGCGACATCGAACACTAACCAGACTGGAAGCGCGTCACTTCAGTCGCCATTAGACTGGCGGGTGGAGAGTGTCGGTTAAAAATTCGCGGTTAATATTGCTTCGTTATTTTTTTTTTTTTATTGATAATAATAATAATTTTTTTTTCTCGTTGTAAAAAAAGTTTCTGTGCAATTATTTTGAAAAAAAAAAAAAAAATTTTTTTTTTAATTTTATTTTGGCTCGTGAAGCAAATTTTTTTTTTTTTTTGTATCCACAGTGACTTTTTGTGTGCGGCGGATTTATTTGGGTGCGCGCGCTTATTTATTGATAGTGTGTCGGTTTTGGAATGTGCATTTTTCGATCGATGAGAGTTATGATTTGCGCAAGTCCGGAGGAAGACACTCGGAAGAGTACGACGGCGGGCAAGGAGCCGGCAGATATGATTGTGCCGGTGTGGGAAAATGCCGCGTGTCGCGAACCGGAAGTGCCAGAGTGACGGGGTTCCGAAATGATGGAAACTCTGGTGCAACCTTACACCCCGCATTTGAAAAAAGTTTTGAAGAAGTATCAGTTGAGTGCGGTGAAAAGTTTACAGGGACCGAGCACGTTGCTCGGTCCGTGCCTAGAAGTGGCGACTCCCGTACCGTCGAAAACGGAGGACGCACCGTCGACGGCACGGGAAAGTCCGACGACCGTGTCCAGAACGGTCAGATCTCCCGCCGCAGACATTGATAATTTTATTCCCCCGCCGTTCCCGGTTCAACAGTTGCCCATATTGACGGAAGCGGATCAGAGGAGCGAAAGGGGAGAAACGGAATTGGAAGGAGAATCAATTTCGTGTTTTGTCGTGGGCGGTGAAAAGCGTTTGTGTTTGCCGCAAGTGTTGAACAGCGTACTTCAAAACTTCACTCTAGCCCAAATAAATCAAGTTTGCGACGATTTGCAAATATTTTGCTCCCGATGCAATCCGGAACAGTTAGAAGTATTGAAAGTTACCGGAATACTTCCGGCGAGTGCTCCGTCCTGCGGGCTAATAACGAAAACGGATGCGGAACGATTGTGCAGCGCTTTGCTTCAGCACGGCGTTCCTGCCACGTCCCTCCCAAGCCCCGGTGCCGTGTCGTTTCAAGTTTACCACGAATGCTTTGGTAAATGTCGCGGATTGTGCACCCCGTCGCTGTACTCTACCCCAAACTCGCGTTGCATAGAATGCTTCGAGTGTCACGCCATGTTTTCCCCGCAGCATTTTGTCTGCCACGCTCATCGACCCTTGCAAAACAGGACCTGCCATTGGGGGTTCGATTCCTCTAATTGGAGATCTTATTTGTTGGTGGCCCGAGGGCAACCGGATTACGACGTTGCCGTCAAGTTGTTAAATTATTTAAAGGAAAAAAACTCGTCGTCGACGACGACTGTGACGGCGACGACGGTCACGACGACGACGTCGACGCAACAACCACCCTGCAACAAAAGAAAGGTGAGTTTTTTTTATTATTTTTATTTTTCCTTTAAAAAAAAAAAGTGTGCCAAATTTTTCCTCTGTCGCGCAATAAATTTTGTCGAAAAAAAAAAATTTTTTATAAAAAAAATCAGAGAAAAGCTTTTCGCGTCGTAGTCCAATTACGAAAATTGGGTAAAACGATCATCGATGATAAGCTCTTGTTTGATTAAGGTAAATGTAATAGAGATGATAATGATAATGGCGGCGGTGGCGGCGACGATGGGAGCAACGACGACGACAACAACAACAACAACTCTATCGATGATAATAATAATGTATTTATTATGTGAATCAAGTCAATCGATCGATCGATCGATCGATGAACTTTAAATAATTGCTTGAAGTGAATTTCCAGTCGAAAAAAAAAAAAAATTAGCAGACGACAACTTTTACTAAAAAAAAAAAAAATTTTTTTTAACTTAATAATTTATTTTCGTGACGTACGTACGACGTTGACGCCACGAAAGTTTTTTATTTTTATTTTTTTTTATTTTTTTCTTTCGACAGTTTTCTCGCGTTTTTGCGTTCTTCAAAAAAAAAAAGAAAATGGCGAAAAATAGTAATAATAATAATAATAATAAATGGTGTTTTACGAAAGGATACGTTCGAAAACGTCCGGAAGGAAGGGGGAGGGGGGAATGATAAAGGTCGGATTTTGGTGACGCGTCGAGTTCGTTCGCCGTTTAACGTGACGTGACGAAAATTAAATTTACGAAAAAAAAAAAAAAAAAAATGGTGACGATTCGAGAGAGGTATTTGTGTTTTGCGTTTCGGTGCGTGGTTGCAATAATGCTCTACCCACGTTTAATGATTTGCATTTATTTCAAACGCATAAAATTATTCACGAGGCATAAATTAAAAATTACATAATGTTTAGTATTATTATCATCATCCTCGTCGTCGTTGTCGTCGTCGTCGCATTTTTTTTTCTTTTTTTCGTTATTTTATTCTTGTGTGTGAACGCATGGAACGAATATGAGTAATGGCGGTTGTGGCGGTAATAAAAAAAAATTTGTTGAAGCTGTGCCGCCGCCGTTGACGTCACTACTACCACCACCACCACCGCTGACACCGTCACCGCCACCATATTAAGCAAGTCTCGATTCGTTTCGTAACATAAACTTCCGCGGTCGTTGAATTTTTTTTTTTTTTTTTTTTCGACAAATGAAGAAATAAATTTTTTTTTGTTTTTGTTTTTGTCGAACCGATTTAAAATTCGATTCTCGAGTTACCAAAAAAAAAAAAATAATTTTAAACGATTCAAGAGTCAGGCACATTCAGGTATCGTATCGTATTTCGAAGATTGAAGAATCGAGAAAATGTAATTTTTCGTATTTATTTATTTATTTATTATTTTGTATCTATCGTCGAAATGCGTTACGGAAATGATGATGATGATGAGAGACCCCACGCACTCTTTAAATTCAAATACACATGATTCTCGTGTGAGAGAGAGAGAGAGAGATAGATAGAGAAGGAGGAAGGGGGGAGACGAAAAGAGGGATACACGGGTACAACGGGTAACAACGTCAGGTACTTTTACGAGGTGTAATTTATTAGTCGAATTTTACAAGTTGTGCGTACGTACGTGAGTGCGTGTGCGTGTAATTAAGAGCAAAAAAAAAAAAAATATGAAATTGACTTTAATTGAAAAAGCCTCCGTCTCAACGATGAGAGATTGTCGGTTGTCGGTTGTTGTTGTTGTTGTTTCATTTACACCGAGAGATGCGCGAGATATTAATAAAAGGAAATCTCATTTTGAATTTTCTCTTTTTTAATTGCGTATTTCCTTGATTTCGGTCGGTCGGTTTGTCTGTCTGTGTCTTCTTTCGAAATTTTTGCAAATATTGCGACATTTTTCCCCGCCGGTAAGGAAAGGGAAATTTTTTCCCTTTTTTTTATTAATTTAATTTTTTTGACCGTTTATCGTTTTATAGGGGATGTGTATGTTTATTCGTGTCGTGCGTTTGTTCATTCGAATATTCCTCCTCCCTCCCTCCTTTTTTTTTTCGTCGCATGAATTATCCGATAAAGCAACACATCGGGTCCCCGTAAAAAAAAAAAAAAAAAAAAAAAAAAAAAAAAAAGTATTGTGACGAGTTTCGTAATGAAAAAAAAAAAAAAAAAATTTTTTTTTAAATAAATATTTTTAGTTGGCATATCCTGCACGCGTGCGTGCGTGCGTGCGAGCGACAGGTCCGCGCCTTCATTTGCATAGATCAACCATTTTCGATATCCTCGAACTTATGTGGCATCGAAGTTTTTTTTTTTTTTTTTTTTTTTTTTTTTGTATATAATTTAAATTCGATGAAATTATTATGCGAAGGCATTGACATTTTTTTTTCTTTTTTTTTTCGCGTAGTAATCTTACGCGCGCGTATATCGGCGCGACGCTTTAAAAAAAAGAAAGAAAAATCGATTCGGGTATTAAAAAAAAATGGCGGTCGTATCCGTTAAATAAATTGTCGGACATTTTTTTTTTTCTTGTCTAACAAGTAGAAAATGACGTGGGGGAAGAAAGAAAGACTGATCGTGTGATTCGAAAAAAAACCTCAAAAATGTTATTATTATTATTATTATTAGAAATTTTCGCAATGACAAATTAAAGAGAGAGAGAGAGTGTGCTAAGTGGAAAGTTATGAATTAAATAATTTTTTAATTTTGGGGCTTAGGTAAAGTAGACGAATTACGAGTTTGATGAACGAAAACATTATAGACTATCACGTGATTAATGAATTAAACTTGTACTTGAATGTTTTCTCGGTAGAAAAAAAAAAAAAAAACAAAAATTTCGCAATTTGTGTTTGTAAATGCGCGCACACGAAGAACCTACGAATGAGAAAAAAAAAAAAAAAGAAAAAAAAGTTGAGAAAGAATTTTAAATTATGCTAATGCAAAAGTCGAACAAACAACTTGTAACAACCACTACAACAACAAATTTTCTATTACGCCATTTTTCTTTTTTTTCGATACGATTTCGTTTTTTTTTATTTTATTAATTTTTTTACTCTTTCTCTCTCTCTCTCTCTCTCTCTCTCTCTCATCGAGTATACAAAAAAAAAAAGTAAGAAAATTATGAAATTTTACGTGCGGAATTTAGAATAAAAAGAATTCGGTTGGTAACCTTGCCCTCTTCTTCTTTTTTCACTTCTTCTGTTGTTGTATTTGTTGTTGTTGCAAAAATTTCTTTTACGATTACACAAAGTATAAATTTTCTTTTTCCACGTCGGTTTTTTTTTCTTTTTTCTACTTCGTACGCGTTGTGAATTTCATTTTCATTTTTTTTCTTTTTTTTAAGCATACGTAAAATTTTTTTTTTTTTTTTACGTCTCTTAGCGTTTCGCGATCGTTATTTCCTTTCATGACATTTTTTTTTAATATGAAAATTGTATATTTCGAATTTTACGTAATCATATTGATTATTATTATTATTATTATTATTTTGAGGCTGCGGTTCGCGCATAAAAGAAAACAAAAAAAAAATATCGGTCAAGTTCATTCAATAGAGGGGACATTTTACTGTTCAAGGGCCCCTCGTTGCATATAAATATTTCTTTAAAAAAAAAAACAGCTATACGTATTCCAAGGTATGGAAAAACACCGATCGATTTTGTTTTCGATTGTTGGCAAGCCTTGATTTCATGAGATATTTCATCTCAGTTATTCTTTAAAGAAAAAAAAAATTGTTGTTTGTTTGTCGTTTCGTTTTTGTATTATTTGCGACTCGGTAGACGGATGATGAAAAGTAAAGCAAAGTGTATAAAAAGTATATGCGAAACAATTTTCGTGGAAGAAGAAACGTGGGGGGGAGGTGAAGAGAAGGAGAAGGATGGTTGCGATAATCGTGATAACCTGGTTATACGAAAAAAGTTTCACGTTACCTCTCAAGTCTGGATACATTCCAGAGAAATGAAATTCCCTCCGGGGTCCGAGTTTAAAATTTATTATTGAGTAACGTGATTTTGTTTTTATTTCTCTCTCTCTCACTCTCGCACGCAATCTTTATCTCTTTTCTCTTTCTCTCCCTCTCTCCAGAGTTTAGAAAAATTCCAATTTATAACCTGCCGCGGAAATTTTTTTTTTTTCTCCTCAAATTTGATTTTTACGTAAAATTTCATTTGAACGCGGCGTAACGTTTACAACAAGAACAACAACAACGCAATCGTATAATTTTGTAGCGCGTAACGTCGTCGACGTCGCAATAATAATAATAATAATGATAATAATAATAATAATTAACTTCATCACAATTAGTGTGTAACAGTTATCAAAATAAATAAAACGAAAAAGTCGAGTAATGAATTGTAAACACACTCAACAGGTCCAAAGTTTTTATTCCTTCTTCTCTCTCACTCTCTCTCTTTCTCTCACTCTCACTCTCCTTTTTTTTTTCTTTTTATTTTCTTTTTGCCGAATAAATGATTTTTATTCAAAAAAAAAAAATTTTTTTTTTTTTTTTAAAAACTCCGCGAAAAAAAACTAATCGTGCTTGGAACCTGAAATGAAATCATCAAAGATTTGGGTTAATGTTTTGAAACGTTTGTGTGTGTTCGTGTGCGCGTATTCACGGGCACGTGTGTGTATATCTTCTCTCTCTCTCTCTTTCTCTCTCTCTTTCATTTGTATGAAAAAGTTTGAGCCTAAAAGTAAAGAGAGAGAGAGAGAGAGAGAGAGACAGAGAAAGAAGATTGAAAGATTAATTTTGATTTTATTCAGCAATTATTAAGTCGAATGATGATGATTATTATTATTATTACATTTGCTGATTAGGGAGAAAACTTTTTTTGCGTACGTCACGACAAATTTTCTCACGCACACACGCACACGCATAAGCGCACGAGTGTGTGGGTGGTGTTAAAATCTCCGAAAAAATTATGTCGATTGATTTGTATTCAGAGCAAAAACTTTTTCTTTTCTCCCTCTCACCCTTTTTTCCCTTTTTTCTTTCCCACAGCTCGTGGTTGAAGAGTGAACGTGGCACGAGAAAATGAATAAATAGTGTCATTGTGATAATAACGTCTCGCATTTAAATTTCATTTCGTTGAAAATTTTTTTTTTTTTTTTTTTTTCTTTTGTGAAACTTGACATCATTGCAATTTTAGTTAAAAGTCAAACACGTTAATTATAATCAATAATAATAATAATAATAGTAACAAGTATCGTCATCGAC